CCCAAGTGCCCACTAATGCTCGTGGTCCCCAAAGTCGTCGTCCCCCCCCTGACCCCTGTGCCAGCCCCTCTGTGGTGCTTTGCCGTGGGGAGCAGGTACTCACTGTCCAGGCAGGGCTCGCAGACCGTCTGGTTGACCCCGCAGGGCTGCACCATCCCCTCTCCCAGGTTGCAGGCTTTGCAGCACTCCCCGCTCGTCGTGTACATCTTGGTGGGGCACTCGTCCTCGGAGCCCCGGGTGGGTGCCTGGGGAGCAAAGGGAGCCGGGAGGTGACCCTGGGTATGGGACCCTCCCTGCGAGGGCGGGTGGGGAAGTGCGTGGCATCCCGGTAGGGTCCCGCGCTGGGGGGGTGTCCCGTGTTGGGGCTAGAGGGGGCTCATAGATTAAACACAGGTCTTGGGAGAAAAGACTTCCCTACGTGAAACTCGCTCACCATGAAAGCCCCTGTGTGCTGCTGCTGGAGGGGGGTCAGGAAAGCCCACGCCCCCACGGTCTGGGCTGGTGGGTGTTTTGGGGGAGGTGTGGGTGTTTCTGCAGGGTTAGGGCATTGCTTTGCCCTTGGCTGTCACCCGAGCTGTCTCCTCTCCGGATGCTTTGCCATCCTGAAGGGTTCAGCCCTTCCCACCCTGGGGGGAGGCAGGGCACTGCCTGCAGGCTGGCGGTTCGGGGGGCTTGGCTGCCCCACGGAGGGTTCGGGGGGCTTGGCTACACAGTGGTTTTGCTGCATGTGGGGATCAGAAATCGGACCCAGTGATGGGAATGAAGGCTTTGAAGGGAGCACCGAAAGCTTCAGCAATGTTACTGTCTAATGGAAGTGAGCGTGTCTGCCTATAAAACCTGTCGTCACATATGGAAGCAATGAACGTGCCACGGGCGGCGGGGTCGGGGCCGCTCCGTGCGTGCGCTTCGCAGCCCGGGGAGCGGGGTGCATTTGCAGGGCAGCTGCTCCACAAAATGCCCCTTGGCCACGGCCGTGGGGCGCAGCAAGCGCCTCTGCCGGGCTGTGGGACTGCTGAGGGGCTCGGGGTGGTCCGAGCGCTGCTGGGGCTCCTTTTGCTCCCTCTGCTCGCAGCCAAGCGTGTTCCAGGGCTGGACCATCCCTTTGCCATCCAACTAAGCCTGATTTTCAGGGAAAAAAACTCGGCTAGTGCTTGGAGGAGCTCCCCTTCCCCGTGCATCTGGATGCCTCGTCAGCCCCTGGCCGCCTCCTCGCACAACGCGCTGTGCGTTATGGACGCGCTGTGCGTTGTGGACGCGCTGTGCAGCATCCGGCCCGGCTCAGACAATGCAGCGCCAATTATAGGCATCTGAATGACAAAGTGCTCCAATTACCCCGCGCTGGAAAGCGTGTGCTCTCCTCCCTGGCGCTGCCTCGCTGCCCGGGCTGGCAGCCTGCTCCGGCGCTGAGCCCCAGCGGCGCAGGCAGGGGAGCTTGGGGTGGGGGGGCTGTTTGTGTGTGTGTGCTTCCCAGCACCCCCAATGGGTTTGGGGTGAGGAAGGGGCTTGCTTTTGCCTCTCCTGGGGGACAGATCCAGCTGGTGGGGCTTTGCAGCAAACCCGGTGGGGGCTCACCCTGCTGCTCCAGCCCCGCTTGCGGTGCGTCTCCCCTGCTGGGGGCTCTGCCCCCCTCCTGCCTCCCCACAGTTGTGGCAGCAGCAGC